ATATTGTAGGAACATCCCTATCTTTCAAAGGACGGTTCTTGAGAATATCCGTATCCCTCATACAATACTGTATTTTGAATATCATTGCACTCCACAGAGTGCCACTTCTCATTTTCCCTTCCCTCTACATATCATATTAGTGCAGGGACAATAATTTCTTTCAAATGAATGCGATACAAGCTCTGTTTTAGTTGTAAAATATTTTCCCTTCCTTACAATAACAGCATAATCGGTAATCCTATACAATAATATTCCTGATACAGCTGTATTCCTTACCAGCATTGACACCTTAGACACATGTCTACTGCCTATATCATCATACCTTTCCTATAATAATACACTCAGTATATTCGTCTACCTCTTACAATCGAGTCATTTTTACATTACCATCCTTGCCAGGGACGACGGATAAAGATAACGATACGGCATGCATGTTCATACACTTCAAATTATAGTACTCCTTGTACAGTAGTATTCACTTTACAATTTTATGCTTAATATATTGATACTCCGCAAACATCCACATTGTTCACATAATAGTACTCTGGGAATGATACCACTAGAAGCCAGTAAATAATTCTCACACAATACTATTTCACGCACATGTGTACACTTGCTCGAGCGGTACTCCCCCAATCATGCAGTTCCACACATTATACGGGGGTTAATATAATAATACTCCGGGGAGTTTTATGAATTCCGGAATAGAGTGCTTCCCCTATAATAGAAGCCTAAAGAGTAGGCCATGATGTTCCACCTCTTTCAATAATTGTGCAATGGGGATATCCAAAATCCCACCCCAATTGTGCACTCAAAGACATCACACTAGGCAGATATGAGTACACTCAAAAGACTGCGCCGTAGATCATCCGTACGTTTTATACAATTATGCCCCTAAATGGAAAGTACTCTGCAGATATCAGTATAGATCAACCATTAATACCCACATATAACAGTACTACGAGAATTTCCGCATTCGTCACTATGGGAAATGAGGACACATTAATACTTCCTTGGCATTTGTCTTCGTGGTATATCTAGGTACTTCATAGAATATTACCCTACGAATAATGACACACCTCGAAAATCAGTATTCTTGACACTATAATACGGTTAACATTATAGTACCCCTGGCATAGCTCTACTGTTTAGACAATATGATTCGAGGCCACCTGTGGGATCTGCAGAATCCCCCAATTCATATCATACAACCATTAAACCAACATGACGACTCCTCAAATATTTCTATTCCAAGGACAGTTGTACTCATCAGGACAAACTATTCTGTACATAACATCAGTGTTCCTCAAGTAATCGTGCAAGTCACACATTCATGTGTCCCACAGAAGTGTACCCCCCATACGGAGGTACTCTGGCAACTTCCACACGTTGCGTAACGGTTGGCCCTCCTTATACGGCATAAAACTAACTCATGAATTCTACACCCCCCCCTTACTTTACTTAATAATACGGGATTAACTTTGCCACTCATCAAATGGCGTCGTACCAGCCATATCAGGCATCTTTAGATATGAGTACTATACATACATTTGTAGTGTCTCCATAACAGTACTCCAAGTCATGAATACTCGTTCAGAAAATATCCTGTTTAGATAAGAGTATTATCCACAGGACAGGGCTGTAAACGCAACGATACTCCTTTTACAGCAGTACCCTCCCAAAGAATGGTAGTCCAAAGGTTATCTTACTCATAAAGGCAGGAAACTTCACACATTATGGTTCCGTTAGTATAGTAGCACTCCAGGTGATCCATATAGCTCCACTACTAATACTTTCATAGAACAGTACTATGGGGACTTCCGGACTCCTCACCATTGAGAAAGTAGAGACAATGGTACTCCCTAAACAATAGTTATACTGGAATATCCATGGACTTCACCGGACACTGTTATTCATATAATTAAAGCATAAACCCTGAATTCTTCACATACTCTAGTACATGGAAACATTACTCCTCACATAATAGTAGTAGAAATATATTTGTGTGCATCATCAGCAATGG